CTCGGCTTTCTCTCTATGGTAATGGAATCGTTTACGCTCTTTTCTAGAAAGCATAAAGAGGATAAAGTAAGTGACTAACTTGAACTAAACCAACTCCACAATATGACAAAAAATGTGAATTAAAAAAACAACATCGATTCATAAAAATAAGTGCAGTCCCGATGATGCATTGTCAAACAGTCTGCCTTCTGCACATGCATACTTGCTAGACTCTCATAACATATTGAAGTTGTATTTTAATTTTTGTTAAAAACTAATCATTTTTTCTTTTCAAAAACATATGTATATATATTTTACTATACTTCATACAGTACAACGCGTGAAAACAGTAAATTTTAAAAAAGAGTTCTCGGCTACTTAGGGAGTCCCAAATAAACATGGTAAATCCAGACGACTACATACAGCCAAAACAAAGTCAGCTTGGACTTTCAGTTGTGGGACACGACAAAATAAACGCTGCCGATGATACATTTCGAGAATAAACGCAATCAAAGGCGCCGACCACGCACGTTGGAAATAAATAATAATTTTATTCAACACGAAAATCCACTACAGAGAATAATTTTATGGTTGTAAAACAAATAACAGAAATAACACTTCACGCAACTAATATCACAAATAACACAGTTTATTTTTCAAATTTTGACAAATTTCACTTTTTAATTTTTTATGGCATTGTATGAACATCTGTATTCTGTAAAAATTTGAAATTAAAATTATTAGTGGAACTCTGTTAAATTTGCATCAAAAAATTAATAAGTGAATGCATGTGGCAGTGTTGTTGTTTTAATTGGCTCATTTGCATAAATAGACATAACCGGTTGCCTATCTACAGTTGACTGACAGGGCATATGCAAATTACTGATCAGGGGTCAAACTCATCTAATACCATAAGCTAATGTTATTGTTTAGGACAAAGCAAAATTGAAGTACAGTTCACTCCAAGAGAACACGTTGCGACATGAAGTAACACCTGCCTTTTCACTCTGCAAACGCACACACAAGCACTATTTCCGTATATTGAATACGTTGGCAAAGAAAAAATACCAAAAGGAACAAGTTTAAATCATGTTTGTATTAACACAACACGAAAGCAGTTTCACAGTGAATACGAGTAATTACATTACGTGAGCATGATTACTAAAAACTGTGGCGTGATTGAAGGAGGCTGATGTTCTATTTATTTCCAATACATGTGGTTGGCGACTTTGATTGCGTTTATTTTTTAAATGTATCATAGGCTGAGTTTGTTTTGTTCTGTCTTGCAACTGAAAGTCCAAGCTAACTTTGTTTTGGCTGTAATGTGCTTTTGCCAAGTTTTTTCTGTCTTACCACACCATTTTTTGTTAGTTAATGCTTTAAATGTGCAACCAGACTCCCCAGGCCAATGTTAGTGAGCTACTCACTGTTGCATCTTGGGATTTAATTTGAACTAAGTCAAATAACTTAGCCATTTTTCAGGCAAAACCCACAGATGATTTCCTGGATTTCTCACAAATTGTGCACATGTTGGATTTAAGTTAAGGGTCAAATTAACCTACATAAGTTTACAAAAAGGTTTCAACTAAATATAAAACATAATAAGCCACAAAAAAAATCACCAAAAATTCAACGTCTGTCATAACATTGAAAATAAAGTTTTTATTTATGCGACAACCACTATGCTACCAGTGACTGGTAATTCTTTGATCCTGATCTGTGTGATTGACATGCCTATTGTCTGTACATGTGCGACTAATTTCTCTAAAAGGTGTAGTCTTTAATGTATAGGGTGAACATTTTAAGCGATAACATTTTGAATACCTACAAAGCGAATGTGAAAGCAACTGCTTCAAAGAAGAAGTCAGAAAATTAGAAATAAACAAATCCTCATCTTTATTGTTTTTTACCTACCATACCTTTATACAAATCTACCAATCCAGCAATAAAGGAATACAAATACTTACTCAACTTGATGGTTATGTAGAATTACCAATGCTCTAATTCTGTTTCTCTCCACAGCTGACTTTGCCTTCTGATACTGTTCATCTAATTGTACACATGTGCTACACGCTACAAACTCATTACCCTACACAAAGAAAAATCAATGCATATAACAAATCAAATTACCGGTACCAATTAAGAAAATATGTAATTTAACTCTGGAAAAATATCATGTATAAATTTATTATGTATAATTTATGTACATATTAAGGTGAACCACTTGAAGAAACGGGTCCAACTACATGTACAAAACTGTGTTAATGTGTTTTTATGGTGAATAAAAAAAATAAACATGTACGTACAGGGTGACAAATAGCTACCCACATACACACACATTCTCACTGAATAACGTAAAAATGACTAATTTCCACTGGGTTTTGGAAAATTTACCAGTCTGGTAAAATTTGTGGTTTGTTCAGTTAAACATTAAAGAATTCTTCACACAGTTTTATTTAATTAAGGTATAGATGCAGGCTCTATTATTATCCAAACAGTCTTGGCTATAGACTGTTAAAATTTTACATCAATGTGAATAGTGGAACATACTCAAAAAAAACAATTTTAAAATATAGAAAACAGGTACAAACATTCTCTCTTTTGAATGCTTAGCAAGATTTAGCAAGGCTGTACATAAATAATAAAAAAGAAACATGGCGAAAGAAAAAGTAATGACAGGATCTTCATATTATGTATTATTTAACTTTTTACAAAACAATAATAGGTTTAAACACAGTCCCTCTGGTTTAAGTTTGGAACTGTTACAGCCATTTTAATTATGAGCATGAACAAACTTCTTACTGAGCGAATGTTTATGCAGATTAGCCATTATCTCTACTTGTGTTTTTCAGTTTACCATGGAAGTTCAAATATAAATACATGTAGCTCTCACAATTCTTGTTTATTCCAAGTGAAACCTTAACACAACGTTTATTAGTTCAGGTGTATAGATAGTATGTTTTGTTTTCATATTACAAAGTTGTCAAGCAGGATGTGTGCCGTATATGTTCAATCCCGGTCAGTATTTCACACTTCGAATGTCATTGTCCGATAATACAAAGCTTTTAAAAATAAGCCCAGACGTCCTTTTGTTTGTAAATACATCGTCGAATAGTGTGTCAATTTTGCAATCAGTCAAATGTAGCAGGCAAAATTAACCAACATCGAATGAAAGGCTATGAAAAAAAATCTCAGATAACCAACTCTAAGAAAACCATTTGGATTGGTTGTATGGGGCACCGCCAGCTGGCATCGCTGTCGCTGGGTGCATATGATAGAGGGAAGTTGTGCAACCAAATTTGCCAAGTTCGCAGTTTTTCGCCGATAACAAAATAACTAAGGCAAAAACTCACGGTTTTCAGCATTTTTGTAATAAAGACATTATTCTCTATTAATAATCCGCCCAAAACAGTAAAATTTATATTAATTCTTGTGTTTTTTCGACGTTTTTCGAAAAACCTGCGATTAGGCTGCGAAAGTAAACAATCCGGAGGGGGTGAAACGGAAGAGCATTACCAGGCGACGGACGCTGGGCTCTTTGGCAACGACCGCAAACGTATCGTGTCCAGTCATTGGTTAGTCACATAGAGGTCAAAATACGCGTTCTATTTTTACGCATTAAATTTGGCTCTTCTCTCTATCATATACACCCAGCGATACCGATACCAGCTGACTGTGGAACATAAATACCCAAAGATAATAAATACCTTGCCAATGGTGAATTCTGACAAATGTGTTGTCCACATCCTGCAGAAATAATCATAGCAAATGGTGTCTTGTCTGCAAAAACCTCTCTGCTCGAATTCATTGATCATTCTTTCATACACCATAATTTTTGTCCAGGAACATGGTAAAACAACTTTGGTGTTGTGTGGCATGTAGTCGCCCATTCTCTCAAAATAAAAGCGCATCCATGCAATTGATGTTGAAGTTTTGTCACGCATGCCACCCCTGTATAAATTGCCGTGCTTCACAGTAATAATATCTCGGCGGAACAGCTTTTGGCACTCTCTGAATCTGTAGCGTGAGACATTGAACACCATGCACCAACAAAAAATACATACATCCTTTCCATAAATTCGCAAATTAGTTTCTGCATAAACTTTGCCTTTGATGTATCTTTTGAATGACGAATCTCGAATGACCTTCAAAATGAATTGTTTTTGCTTAGACTCGTTTAAATTTTTCATTTCCCGCTCGCACTGAAGCACGTCGTTCACGGTTAGATCTCGAATACAATAGTCATTGCAACATGTCTCACATAACACATCAACTGGGTTACGTATTGGCTGACTTAGTCGACGGCGCTTCGTGCTATAAGTTTTGTTTGGCGTAGAACTTGCTGCTGGTTCGGTCTGCGGGGAGTTGACAGCAACACCGCGTTCGCTGAAAGAGTCAATGCTCCTGCTACTGGTGCTTTCATCGAACTGTGTTCTTATACTTGTATCAGAAATAGAACTATCAAATACAGTGTGTATGGATGAGCGAGTATTCTCACCTTCAAGTGAATCGTCGAACAAAGTAACCACACTGTTAACAGATTCGTCGAATAATGTTGTAAACGAACACTCGTGGACACTCTCCATGATTCGACCATTCATAGTATTATTGGTGGTGTAAATTAACAATGACACGGGACACACATCAACTATAAAATCGTTGTAACTTTATAATCGGTATATTGGGAGAAAAACACCTACACACCAATTTTCCGGTCTACCGATTGCGCGTGTCATGTCAAGCGCCTAACTGGGCGAAAAGATTTTCACGAGGGGTTTTTATGTAGAATGTATAAAAATAGGTCAGGTAATTCTGACATGCAATGGGTCATGGATAAATATTTTCAGTGTTTCATTATATATTTATTAATACAAACATACCGATCACAACTGAATGACCACAAATCACATAATATGATACAACTTTTAACAAAACATCCCCCACACCAGTAAGTGAAACTGTCTTGAAATGTTGGCTCCCAGAATCCTCTATGAAGATGAGCAATACAGCTGGTTTAATTCCCGAGATCAAGATCCTGTAATCACACCTTCACTTTTGAACTGTAATTCTACACAGCGGAACTCACAGCTTGGGTGATTACCTCTTTTGTTTTAAAATGATTAATACCAACCAGCTCTCAGTGTTGGAGTCAGTCAGTTGCTTATCGTGCTTCTTGGTGTTTACGCTCAAGCGCTCGTACATACGGAACGTTACCAAATTACGCAGTCAACAAACGTGTTTATTTTCAAAATGGGAAGAAGGAGTTGGTGGTTAGAAGAGGACGGACCTAAAATATACGTTTATGTGAATGAAGGAAAGAAGAAAGACAGGCTCACCGATAGAAAGACTGGCGTCCCTTATCCTCATGTTGAAAATGTTGAAGTTTATCCAAAGAAAACCGACGCTGTGAAGGTATTTGTTTCATTAATTTATTTGTCTGTTTTACTTTCACGATCATGATGCAGTTTACCCAATTCCTGTACCGAAATTTATCGATGCTGGCATTGCATTATGCCTCGTAATGTCAGCATCAATAAATATCGGCGTAGGAGCTGTGTTAACTGTATCGTGCTTTATGACTGCGTCGAACTTAAAACTGTGAATAACCCAGAAATTACAGTTACTAGTAGTACCCATTTTGTATGCATGAGTGTAGGATTCATTACTGAAAATATTATACTGGTCCCCTCAAAAGAGAATGGGAAACTAAACTACACGTATGTAAAAAAAAAAAAAAATACTAGTAGTTGGATCACTATGTTTTCCCCGTCCTTGAGGCATAGTTTAATCCAAATCCAAACAAATACATTTCAGCCATGAAACTGTGGCAAAGACCCAAAAGTATACCCCTCAAAACCTATGCAAACTTTCTTTATTCTCTGTATTGCTTAGTCAAAATTATAACTGAAATATCAGATTTTGTGTTGCTGTTGTTGTATATCATAGATGGTTCAGATAAAAGAGAATTTTTTCTATAAGACAGACCGGAAATGGAAACAAGACAAAAACAAAAGATTTTTCAAGTTAGCATGGGGGAAATATTGTTGCTAAGTATTATCGTCAGGGAAAGCTATTGTTTAAGCTAGTCTGTGATTGGTTGCTGTGATGTAGGCTTGACTTGGGGAATTCCTGGTAACAGACGAAAATAACCATTTTGCTTTGAATTCATGGTTTTTGTACTTTGTCCAATGCATTGCATCGCACTATAACGTTTGCATCTGCCGAAATGTCGGTCATTGTTTTTTTTACATTTGCTGCGTACAAGTTTTATTTATGACAGTACCCGATGCCTGTCTCGTGTGAACTAGAATGATCCAGCATGGCTTTCGATTAAATATTTAGAACATCCTCTTTATGATAATCTCTTCTACACATCTCGTGAATAGTGCAGTTGGGTTTAGTTAATGGATCAAATTAACCACTTTTGTCAAGAGCTTTTAAGAAAATATAACAGGCAATATAACTTTAAAGTGTTCCAGTTGAAAGTTCACATTGGCTGAGCTGGAATGATGCATATAGTCGGTGGATCAGATGTTGTCATGGATTTTATGTAATATACTGTGGAATACTTTATTTTCACTGGAATTAATTTTCGCTGAAAAGGCTTTTTGGGCGTTTTTTGGAATTTATTTTCACTGATTTTTGATGATATTCTATATTCGCTGGATTTTATTTTCACGGAATCATCCCTTCAGCGAAAATAGCGAAAATAAATTCCAAGCGAAAATAAAGTATTCTACAGTACCAGAATAATATTATAAAAGTTAGTATTACCAGTAGCTAATATATCAGCATGCAAACACATAATTTTTATTATTATAAATAAAAAAACAAACATTTTAATAAAACCTGTGGAAGTAATGTTGCATTTACATTGTATGTAGTGTTGTGTAACTTAATTGTGTCTTAATTACATATAAAAAAGTTTATAAACAATGAAAAAAATGCCTCTTAACATGTAACAAATTGAAATTAAATGTAGAGAGTTGTTTAATTTCACCTAGAGTACGGCTATAATAGTGTCAATATGTTCTTTTTTTTTGCAGTTTTTTTTTCATTCAGATTCTGGATCTTCCATTACTTGCCCATATGTATTGGAACGTACATACTTTGAATGGAATAAGTCACAGTATAGCAAAAAGTTTAAAGAAACAAGTAATGTAAGAGAGTTTGTTTCTTTGTTCAGTGAAATGCTTTCTACAAATACTGAACGAAATACTGCTCCAGGAAATTCCAGTGACTCTTGTAGTGATGTTGAAGATATGTCTTTATCGAGTGACAGTGCTTCATGTAGTGAGAGCAGTGATAAGTCATTTGAGAAAGCGTGAGTATTGAATTATTTTCATACCACCATATTTATTCTGTTATCAGTCCCATTATCGTTTACCACGCCCTTTTGTGACGGCTACTCGGCCTTCCTACAAAAACCATGGTGAATATCATGCAGTTTTCCCATATGTACAAAATCCTGCAAACAACCAATCAAAAAGTCCCCTTCTAAATGAAGGGACCCAATCACAGAGAGTATTTCTTGTAAATGTTCTTGTTCATGATAGTTCAATGAAATGTTTCTGATGTGCTTTTTACCTTGCCTGTAGTATATATAGAAGGTAAGGTATGGTAGTGGAAAGATTTTGTCATTTTCCTAATCATTTTATAATTTATATATGTTACAAACAAACATGCAAGGATAACCAAATTTGATATTGGAGTACTGCAATGCATAATTAATGAGATATGGTTGCTGATTGGTTTTTCTTCCAGGTGCCATAACTTCAGTGATTTTTATCTGATGTCTTTAAAAATTTACTTGACTATGCAGGCATAATTAATAAAATACAGTATAAAGCTTCTCCATTAACAATACATTAAAATATTTATTTCTACTTTTAATTTAAGCAATTATATTTCTGGTGTCTATCTGTATCAAGGATTTTGTCAGAATATCAATGGTCTCACCAATTTTTTCATTTAAAACAAATTTTCCATGTTATGGTGATTTTTTTTTTATGTGTGTATATAACCATGGTGGTAAAAAAAGACCTCCATGATATAACATACTAAATTTGTGTGTTTATAACATACTAAATTTTCACCCAAATCTGTGAATAATATGCTAACAGACATTTCATTTTTATAAATTTCTCATTTTTAGGGTCAGAAAGGCCAAACGTCGTATCAGTGACAGTACAAAAGATGTTAGTGTGGTGTCACTCAAACGTCAAAAATATAACACAGATATAGAAGAATGCAAACAAGATACACAATCAACTGTTCAACATGCTTTTTGTGGTATGTGCATATATTTTTATCATTGTAGACCATTGCACTTTAACTACATATCTTTTTCCAGGTAGAGGTGCCTGGTTCTAAATCAAATCTTAAAAAATTCATGATCTTTTTTGATTTAATTACACACTCAAAAACAGCATATTTTAAGATATCTTTTCACATAAAAGATCAACTCTGTGCTTACATAATATCAACATAAATAAATAAATGCCTCCAACACGATGACATGTCCAATTTTCACAGAGAGTGTTATTTCAGTGAAAGATCTTTATACTCTCTGGTGATCATCACTGCAGTTACAACTTACAAATAACATGCTACCTGTTTCATCTTTCTAGTGATTGTCTTAGAATGGCATAAGTAACTGTCTGGTGATATTGATTTAGAATAATAACCTTATTTCTACCTTTTTTGCCATTATGTTTTGTAGGTCATTTCCTTATATCTGTCAGAGCACTACAAGGTGGCCAACAAATCAGAGTACCAGATAAAGTATTTTTAGACAAATTAGTGAAATCCATGGAAAAATACAAAGATGAGTCCTATCAGCCGCTGTGTTTATTGGTAAAAGATGTTTCCTCTGCTGAACAGTTTGATGGAGCTAAGGTATTATATTTATTGTTGTTGTTTTTTTGAGTGTGTGGAAATACTGATAATATTGTTTCTTTAGATAGTCAAGCCTATATCCGAAAAATACACATTAAGACAGACGGGTTTAAACCCCAACTAAATGTATGCAAATTAGTCATCCAACCTCATTCACTGCAACAGGAAACAAAAAGACGAAGGAATGAACCACAAGCGTTTGTTAGAAATGGCTTTGTTTTGATTACAAAAGTTACTTTTCACTTAGTAGTAGCCCAATTTATCGATATACTTTTTGTAAATAGATAAAACTTAGTTGCTATGTCATCAAATTTGTTTTTCACCATTCCCAGATCATGATCCCCTCAAACACTAGTTAATGTACTCGTTAATGTACGGGTCTTACCAATTCATAGAATGAAGATGAACATACGGCCTAGCTGATCGAATTGTGTGGGTTTAGGCATGGAGCTGTAAAAAGACAGCTTCCTGGTTAGGTTGCCTATACTAGCCCACATTTAGGTATGCTATAAGCGGACACACATTTTGCTTTGTGAATGTGCCAAAGTTTTTAATTCTGTTTACTCAGTAAACAAAACATTTAGGTAGGCCTAAGTGAAATGCATGTGTGAAGCTAGCAATACCATTAGGACAGATCTTCTATTGGTTGAAATTTCTTTTTTCAGTTGTTTTAAAAATAAAAAATTAGAGATATAAAATAAGATATAAGATCCTAATTTCTGTTATCCTCTCTGGCAGGGCATATCTTATGATCTAGTTTTTGGACTATCATATTTTTATAACTGGTATGAGTGCAGTATTTGGAAATCTAGGTTGGCTAAGTGGGGAAATCATTAGTGACCTGCATGTTTACTTATATCTTAGCAGATTGATTTTAATACAATGCTCTGCTCTGCCTTCATAATCTTATTTTTTTTGTTTCCCTACCAATTAGAGAAATGGTTACCAATATGATGTCATAGGTGGACAACACACATTATTGGCAATTCAGGAGTTAGCCAGAAAATTCCCACAGGATGAAAAGCTCAAAACTGTAAACTGTGTTGTTTATGCTGGCCTCAATAATGAGGAAAGAAAGTGGTTGGGGGTGAGACACAACAAGACAGGAGAATTTCGTCATGCACTTTCTCTGAAAGAAAAGGTAAATTGACAACTATTCCACATTAAGTAATCAAATTGACTTAAATTGGTTCTCCATTTCTAATAGATGACTGTCTTCTCATCTCATCAAATTCACACACAAAAACTAAAACACTTAGAGGAGGGTTACAAAAAAGCAGGTCATGAACAAATGTGTGATATTTTGTTGTGCCCACATTACTACCACAATATAATTACAGTTTATACCTAAAAATAACTATGACAGAATTTGGTTTAATGGTAGCACAGTTGAGATGAATATGATAGCTTTGAAATTTTGTTAATGGATCATGAAACCAGAGATAAAAGAGAATTAAAATGGGGGGGGGTCTAAAAAATGTTGTGCCACCAACCTGAGGATTTTTATAGATCGGTGGGCCCACTTACAGATCCAAAAAATAAAACAGATGTTACAATAACACAACATTCTGATTTTGAGGTGGAACCCATGTATGCAGGTAACAAATAAGCCTAGCCGCTTCACGGCCTGGTATTGAACCCAGGTCGCAGAGATGCAAAGCGAGTAAGTGTGTCACTGCGCCAACCTACATCCCCACTTTATAGTAGATAATTATTATTATTTATTATAATTTTTTCAACTTTTGTGGAAATCATTACTTTTGACATTTTCTCTCAAATCTTCATTCGGGCTCCTTTTATGTATAATATGAAGATAACCTAAAAAAATTATGTTACGGTAGTTTGCTACCACCACTAAGGTTCAGAATTCCATCACAATATTTTATTTATATATAATTACTCATTAGAGCAAAAGTGATCAATAAATTACTTTTTTTGTTCAAAGAAAAACTGTCTTGTAATATGCAAAAATGGTATATTTTACAAATATCTCCATAGAAAACAGGGGTGAAGCTCTATTTATAATAAAAAAAAAATTTATGTCAGATTTTAGATATGAATTTTTCACCCCATGTCGCCATGCAAAAGGATCCAATGGTAGAATGCTCAACATCTGTCATTTTTATAGATTTTTGTAGTAAACTATTTTAACACTTCATGATTTCCACCTTCCTATAGGTTATGATATGTTATGGAAGAAGAAAAGAAATGCCCAAAGATACAAAAACAACATTGTGGAAAGAGTCGTGCAAAGTTATACTGAATGAGGTATTGTTGCTCTTATGTATATGTATCTTGTGTTTTCACTTACTGACACAAAGTAATTGTTTGTCTTTTGCCGATTTGCGGTGCATTCAATGTTCTGTGGGGTGGCATATTTGTACAGAGCAATTCTGACTACTGAGTTCAGTATGAAAAAAGCTAAAATATGAAAATGTTGCATCTGTTCACTTAATTTATCCCATTTTCTAAACTGAGTTAGAATTCATAGGTCTCCTTGAAGCCTATGTCACAACTTTGAAATAAAGGTGCCATAATTTGCCCAGGGGTCTAACTCAAAAAACTGGTCTGGTATGCATGTCTGTTGAAAAGGGCGTTAAAAAGGCATGTGATACCACAAACCTGGACAAAACAATTACCACTCAATGCATTTAGGGTATGTATTTTACCCATTGTAACAAGGAAAATGGTATGGAATTTTTTACTTATTTAGGGTCATTTATGAAACCTCGTTCACAGACATGGGTTTCAGGTGCTCCCACCCGACAGAATAATTTGCTTTATTTTACCAAATAACCAACTGTGCATTGTAAGTTGAGCTGTTTTTTTTCAGTTAAGTGTTCACTTTGATATATTAACTATTCATTTGTTTCAGGATAAGAACAGCCAAACTTTAGACGTTGCATGTGCTTTGGCATCTTATGATGGTTTACTCTATAACAAAATTATGGAACTGTTTGAAAAATATGAAGATGGAGATCTCAAAGAACAAAGAATTAAAAAGAAAGACCAAGGACACAAGCCAGATATAAAGCCATACAAGTTTAAATACTTAAAGAGTTTAGATGCAGACACAGTGCTGGCATTGGTGTCAGATGTTGTAGACAAAAACCTGTCATTGACAGCATTTGAAAAAGAGAGCCAAATTCTGACTAAGCTCTCATTAATACAAAGAGCATTCATACAAATGATGGGAGTAGAAACGTGGAAGGAAGCCATGGAGTTGTTTCCAAAAGAGACACAAAGAGAGAACTTGAGCAGGTTCACAAAGTTACCTTTCAGACCAAATATTCCTGATACCTTTGTCAGATACTGTCAAAGTATTAGAAAAAGAAATGATAAGGACTCGAATACAGTTCAAGAGTGCCTATATGGTATAGATGGTTCAAAAGGTATTGTTTTGCACCATGATGTACTGAAGCTGTCACCTAAGACTTTAAAAGAGAATGGTGTTAAATCAAATGGTTTTGACTGTGTAATAGTGGATGTACCTGATGTAAGTATTAATAGTTATCATAAGTTGTTTAAAAATAATACAATGATAGTTTAGATTCATTGAAGTTGTATTGCTTTTTATTTTTGTTAAAAACCGATCACTTCCACTTTTCCAAAATTTTATACTACATGCACTGTCACTCATAAAAATAATTTAAAATTATCAGAAGTTCGGGTGCCTCAAAGAGTGTTGTACCGAGGCTGCAACCTTGCGCTATTACCCCAAACTCAGCTGAAAGGGCATTTTAGTACACTAATTTTTCCAGTAATGTATTGTCTGAGAGGGGTTGTGTTTACAAGTCAATGTGCGCCACATCAAACAATGCTGGTCATAATTTATTGCTATTACCGAAAAAAAACAAAACATAAAAGATGAGCTGTCCAACATGTACCAGTTTTTGTTTTTGTTAGCATCTGGAAAGCCCAGGCGTTGAGACAGAGCTCTGTGCCCAGGCAGTTGCTCTTCGCAGAGCTGTGAAAAAAATAAGTAAATGCATGTGCGGGGGGAGATTAAAATACTGTAAAACATGTCTTTTTAGCTAACATGTTATTTTAGCTAATTTATAATTCAGGTAATTCAAGATGTTGCTAATTTAGAATAAAGTACAATATATATCCTAACAATAAGATTGTTGGCAGTTTAGATTCAGTTAATTCATGCATGGAGTCAAATTCGCTAAAATGCATGTAGCTACATTTGTATTTAAACGTGTTTCAAAGCAGTTAGTAAAATCTGTCTTGTTGTTTCTTATTCAGCCATTGTCAGTTATTACACTTCATTTTTTTCCAGGAATGGCTAACCGAGGAAATAAAAGAGTTGGTAATAACTGTAAAAACAATCAACACCAGCATTGACAATTATAGACTTGTCCTGTTATGTGACACCAGTCTGATGACTAGAATAAAAGGAGAACTTATAAAAACAAATACTTTTACTAAAGTGGAGGAAATATTTTATTATGTAGAAAATACAAGGAAAGGTGAGCCATATATGTTTTACCTAATTTGTAAATGAATCCTTCTGTCTATTCTCAGGTCGTATTAAATAATATAGTATTAATGGACTACTTAGATTGTCACCTTGGGGCTGGGGCAAATAAATATAGTTGTTACTTATAGTTGTTACATTTTCTCTGCAGAACCAACATCAATATTAACAGAGTCTGTCCATGGGGTGGTGATTGCGTACTATGCAGAAAAATGGAGTCATCACACTTGAACCAGGTCCATGTGGATGAGCCACAACACAATTTTTGGATTGTAAAAGCAGAGTCAGTCATAAAAGATGGCGAGGGGGATGTTGTTTCGAAGAAGCAAAAGCCGCAGCAGCTGTACGAAAAAGTCATCAAACTTTGCAGTAGCAAATCAGCATGGATTTTAGATGGGACATGTGGAGCAGGTGATTAGAAATAAGAAATTACTGTAGAATACTTTATTTTCACTTGAAATTTATTTTCGCTGAAGAGATGATTCCGTGAAAATAAAATCCAGCGAATATATTATAATTTCCTGTATTTCACATTCAACTCATCAAAAAATCAATGAAAATAAATTCCATAAAGAACGCCCAAAAAGCCTTTTCAGCAAAAATTAATTCCAGCGAAAATGAAGTATTTCACAGTATTATAAATTATAAACCACCTTTCAATACAACAAAACGTCTTCCACTTTACTGAAATGATTAGGTGTTTCTGTTGTGAATAGCCAAAATAACTTACCATTGAGCATGTTTTCCAAAGAGAAGCTCAAATTATCCTTATAGACTGTTTTAGGAGGCATTCCTGGTGACCTTTTTGGTGGCTTAAAAGATGAAGCTTTAGCGGAGAATGTTCTAAAGTTGCATGACCAATGTCATCAGACTTGTTCTTATTCGTGTGATTGCATGTGATTGGGTGTTCTCAGTGCCTGTGGTAACACTGTTATGGTATTCTTTTAAATATTGGATTTTAGATGTGCATTTCAAAAAGTGTGTGCAGTGAAAATTTTAAAAGTTTAAAATTTGTCTCATTCTATTATGTAACAGGAACTGGTATAATGGTGGGGCTTCTGCACAGTAGAAATGTTGTTGGAGTCGATATCAACGAAAAATGTGTAAACTACTGTAAAGTAAGATGTGATGGAGTTGCAGACTTCCTTGAAGATGACACAGAACAGGACCCACATAATTAGTGTCATTAACTTGCGTATTGTTATAGACAATGCATGTGTCATTTCATGTCAAGATTTTAAATTCTCAATTCTTTGTGAATATTTTCGTCATTTCCAACTTCTTGTAAAAAACGCAAGTTTGATTGCTTTGATATTAATTTTGATGAATATTTTTGTAAGTTTTAGTAAAAAGTAACATTTTCAACTTCTTGTTGCAAATCGCAAGTCTGATTGCTTTGATATTTAATACATATATAGGTACTACTTGTGGATTTTTCTCATTGTTTATTTTGTGATGATATCTTTAATTCTCTTATTTTAGTGAATATTTTTGTAATTTTTGGTTTATTTTTGATTAAGTTATATTTTTGTTGAAAACAGCAAGTCCCATTGCTTGATACTATACATATTGTTCATTTTCTAATGATATCTTCAGTTCTTTAATTGAAAATTATGTACATTGATAACAGCTGAACTATCTCAGCCTACAGGCTGCTTGTAATTGTATTTTCTATTCCCTGTGTTATGGTGATATATTTTACACAGAATGTTCACTTACATAGACCTGTATTTGATTACAATTGCTTTTTTCAATTTAGTACTAATATTTAATAAATTGAAATACTTCCTAACGAGAACTAGGTGGTGTGGTCTTTTTTACTTTCTGAATATGAATGTCAGAAATTTCTGGCAACCTTGGCCTAGATCACAGATGTCAGAAATTGTTGACAACTTTCGGCCAGAGCGCAGATGTCAGAAATTGTTGACAGCCTTCGGCCAGAGCACAGGTGTCGGGAAATTTTTGACAACCTTCGGCCAGAGTACAGATGTCAGAAATTTTTTTGACAACCTTTGGCCAGAACAAAGATGTCAAAAATTTCTTGCAAACTCCCTCACACAAAGACTGCAGTAGCATGATAAGTGGTCTTACAAAATTTGTCAGGAGTTCGGCTTTTGGTGAGCTGTCATTTCACATAGTTTAATTTTGAATTTTATCTTGGCAAATAATCAAAAATTATAAGGTATGATTACAATATTGTGAAAAAGACACAAAATTATCGTAAATGTATACAAGTTGGGGCACATTTTATGAAAACTGTTTATTATTGCTAAAATGTTGCAAATATGTGAAAGTTCTCAAAATGTTGTTTTTTTTTTATTAAAAATAAAGCAAAATGCGCATTTTTCGGAAACTTGAAAATGTTTCTCGGACTGTTTCTACTTTAAATAATTATGTCTCACCGAATTAACTTCAAAATGGATTATAGTGGTTTAGGTCACGTAATGTTGTATCACGATTGCTACAGACACAAATATGTTTTTTTTTTATTTTTACAGGTAGTTATGTTGGCAGGAAATCAAGTCGCTATATCTACAGCGAGACACAGTCGGTTTTATTAGAAGTAATATTTACAACTACTACGGAGTATCTAAATCGCGACATGCGCAAGCGTATCGCCATAATTACCAACTTATCGGAAAAGTCAATTATGGTAAGTGAGAGCATTATGTATGCACCAAAGTATGTTATAATGTAAGCGAACAGTTTCTTGTTGTTCATTATACAATAATCTATTTTATTCACTTTTCAGAAGTGGTTTCAGAATCGTCGGAGTCAAAAACGGAGGCAAGAACGGAAAAGAGATGCCGTGTTATATGCTAAGCACCATCAAGCACCAATACAAAAGTTGAAAGAATCGACGACGCGTTTTCCGTCCGTGCGAAGTCGAGGAAAATCAGTGGACACTCGACTTGATGTCCTACCAGCAACGCCTTCCCTCCGGGAATATATTGGTGTTCCACAAACCAGTAGTACACCAAGGCATTGTAGTGATACGAAAATACAAAATTGCAGTACACATTCCAGTGGTATCCTGACAGACGTCTGTCAAAGTAAAATAGAAATATGTAGTACACCTTGTAAAGACGTGTCATCA